ACCTCCTCAACCCTATTCCTACAGCTAACCCTAACCAAATGCACTTATTTCAAGAAAAAATGGTTCATCTAGATTTCAATTTTTTCCAGTGCATCAGTTGGATTCAATATTCCAAAGTATCAACGTCTTCGTTTCTCTGTTGTACACCTTTAATAAAAGATTTTTTATTTTTTATTAAATATTTCATTCCATAAAACAATGAACCTTAGCTAGCTGCACAGGTTAGCATAGCTGCAGCTCCAGATGGATTTCCATATCATTATGGTCCGAGCTCCAGAACAACAAGAACCTCGATGGATAACAGTCAGTACCGCAGGCGGAGACCCACAGCTGGAACCCCGTCGGCCCCGGAGCCGTGAGCCGAACTGGGTAAAAACCACATCTGGGGGGGGCAACGTTCCCCACCTGGAAAGCAGAAAGGACCCGGTGCCTGGACCCCCGAGGGACCGCCTTCCCTGTCCAGGCTCAGCAACGCCGCACAGCCTGCTATCCAGAACCGCCATTACCGCACACTGGACTCCAACACTGACCGCCAGCCACCACAGAAACACTCCCAATCCTGTCATCCCCTCTTCAAAGAAAAGGTTAGACTCTGGTTTAAACTAATTAAACCACAGACCCATCTGGAAAACGTTCTGAAAGATAATGAACTTCCAGCGGCTCTGCATCAGATCCAATAAAATCTAACATTAAACCAGCGAGCATTAATAAAACCACTAAGAGTTGCTATGACAACTAAAATCACACCTTTACTGACTAAATAACTGCGACCGAATGAGGTATTTAGCGTCGTCTGCTATTTTAGTGATTTATTTCATGCTACAAACAACAAAATGCTGGACATTTTTTCTCTTGTGATGTATTATTTTTGTACATACTATCTATCTGAACCTCCTCCACTGGTTACCTGTGTTACTGGCACCTGTTTAAACCCATTAACTGTATAAAAGACACCTTTCCACAGCCTCAAACTTCAAACTCAACCATGACCAAGACCAAAGAGAAGTCGATGACACCAGGAAGAAAACTGTAGACCTGCACCAGGCATAGACGCGTACTTATGATGAAAATTAGACCCGTCTCATTATTTGCACAATCAGTGGCTGACTTAATACTTTTTGGCCCCTCTGTAGATTTTTCTGACACGTTTTTCTTTACTTTGTTAACCTAAACTACAATAAGACAATAAATTCAACATTTATGGAAACAGATGATAGCAGCTGTTGGAGAAACCTAAATGAGCGTAATGGAAATAAAGTCAACTGAGGTGTGACCACACATACAGAAAGTTGCTGGCTACTTGAAATGTCATGTAACAGTTTGTTGAAAAGCCTGACAGCTCTGACAGGAAGTGGGCATCCTGTGTGTGTTCGGCTGTGTGTGTTTTCTCTCTCTAGTCTATGTGGAGTGATAACAGGAATTTGGTTTCAGTGGTTTTCATTTGCTCAGCCTCGAGTTTCATTTATGTTCGCTGACCTGAAACGCTGCACCAATCAACTTTATGGGAACTCAAACTTCTCGGTTTTACCGACGCAACATGCCTGACTACGTTCTTCCAAATGTTTGAGTGGACGTCGGTTTTTTAAAGATCTTTTTAAATTTCGGAAACAGAGAACTGAGGAACGTCATTTCCTGAAGAACCTCTGAGGTGTAACATTTCCCACACAAGTCTTACTAACCAAAGTTGGGACTTGTGAGAAGCCACCAGGTTCAGAGTTAGGTCAGCAGGACAGTGTAATAAAATAGAAGTCAGCACGCTCCAGGTTGAGGTCATGCTTGGTCCCCGACGCTGGAGACAAGACCAATGGAAACGTCACCATCTGGTCAACAGAGAAGCAACCAGGTTCCAAACGCAGAC